ACCTCATATTGCCAAGACTGTTTAGGGTTTTAATTAATGAAAATATGCTCTATTTTTATTTATTTGGAAGATTTCATTTATTTGGAAGATCCTTAATTGTTAATACTATATTTTCATGTTTTTCTGTACTTGCAAACAATGGAAGATTAAGAAATATATTCATCTCTTGGTATCCAAGGGAGACCAGCTCTAGTACTCACATAAATAGATACTCAAATCTGCAGATCTCAAATTCGATTATTTTAAAAGAGTATAGTATTTGCATGTAATCCCAAGCAAATGCTTTATACTTTAAATATATGTATCCTTTGCATTTTAAATCATCTTCATATTTCTTTTACCTACTATAATGTAAATGTTGTATATCTAGTTCATACTATATATATATATAACCATATAAACTATCTAGTTTAGGCAATAATAACTAAAAAAGAAAATGTACATATTCAGTACATACCTAATTCTTGTTCTGTGTGTTTTCCATCTGTGGTTGTTTGAATTTTCTAATGCAGAACTCACTGACACAAAGAGCTGACTACTGACTATCCTAAGTATAACACCAAGGTGTGTTGCCCCTAATGATTCTGAAAATCTAGGAACATATACAAGAATGTTCCTGAGCTTCACATACACCTCTCCATTTCCATACAACTGTAAGATTTGTTATTTACAAAGATTTGCTTTTTGCATCCATGACATTAATAATAATTTGGGGTTCAGAATTGTAGGCTTCAGGATTCCCAATGCCTAGTACTTATAAACTGTATAGTATGGTATAGTACAGCAGAAAACATGGATAATCCCTCTGTTTAAAGCTATGAAAAAGTGATATTGCAATGCAGATTCAGGAAGGAGCGCTGGAGATGAACGAGAGGCCCACATAACACTGGCCCCAACTGGGGTGAGGTGAGCTGGGATTTGCACAATGGTGGCAGTGCTGTGGTGAGCCTGTGTATATCAGACTTGACCTACCAGAAGTGCCTGGTGTATAACATGACATCTCTGAGTGAAATAAAATTTTACAACTGGCTTTTAAAATTCTACATGAAAACTTCCAAATCACAATCAATGTATCAAATAAATCAAACAAAAAATCTTTATTTACTGAAGGATTTTTTTATAGTAGATGAAATACAAATTAGACATCACATTGTTGATGGTATATATTGGCAGTTGACAAATTCAGAAATTGACAAGAGTATGTGTAAGCCATGCTTTTATGTTTGCCTCAAAATGAATCCCCAAATTATGGATAACTATACCACATTAATAAAAAGAACTTTTTTAAGTGTTGTATATGTGTCATTCAAGGGCATCTCTTTCTACTGTACCAGAAAGGATGTCCATACCAATTGGCTGAGCATCCCCGTTTAGCTGATATTGTGTAGGGATATGTGGTAATAGGCTCTATTTATCTGTTGATTCATCTATGTGAGTGCAAATTTTAGGACCATGAAAGATTAAGTCTTTGTAATCATTTTCTTAAAAGATGAAACAGAAACATATTGATATTGGCGATTCTCAGGAATCCAGACAACAAGTGACCTAATACTATGGACTTCAGAAATTTCCAGTAATTTAAAAACATTTTCAAAATGCAAGAGGCATCCAAGCTAGACCCCCTGTTATACTTCTCATGGAGCTTCACTTTCACTTGGGGAATAGTGAATCCAACCAAACCAGCTCTGCTGCTTACACAGCTGGCAGTTCTCTAACACCAGCAAGAAAGGCAGGTGGACAGCCTGTGGTTTTTGCGAGGGAATCAATCATTATTCTTGTTTTTGAAGTCCTAATTTATAAATGTTCATAATCACCAAAAAGTCTTTTTTTAAAAGCTCATTAATAAGGACATGGCTAAGATAAGTAACTACATGAGAACACTAGCAGAAAAGCCTATATAAGAGTGAGGAAGAAAGTGGTACATTCTTTAATATAAACTACAGTTCAGTCTATGGCTTCCTGAAACCATCAATTCCCACATCCAGAATCCTCAAAACAGACTTTTTATGACAGGAAAGTGTCAGAGAAACAGGGGGAAATAATTCTGTCCCCAGAGAAGCCCAATTCACACTCACCAACATAAAATAGATGTCCATGACCCATCTTGTTATAGTTAGATCACTATGACTTATTCCTATGGCCAGTGACATGGAAATGGATGAAAAAGCCACCATCATGAGGGTAAAGATCATGATGAAGAAAGTCTCCACTGCTGGATTTGATATTTAAAGAAAACAAGGGATCGGTTTAGCTGTGTAGCTCCCTGTGTATCTGGAACAGTTTATAGTGCCAATAACACTACAATATCCTGAGAAAGTAAGATCAGAACAACAAAAAACACATGCAACTATCCTGTGTCACTAATTTCATTATTTCTCTTCATTCGACTGAAGGGTAGCCATCTTCATAAAGTAAATCCCCTTAGTATAATCACCATGTGGCTTTGTGATTGGGAATAGGGCTGCCAAGCTTCTTAAATTACTTTATAATTATCATGAGCTAATGTTCTGTATTAGTATGGTCTGAAGATTTTGGAACATCTGTAAGAACACTGATAAGAAGTCTACAGCTCTAAGATTCCATGCCTAATTCTCATAGCACACTTCTTATTTATAAAATTGAAGTTTCCAGCTCTATTAGTGGTTATAATCCTGTGGTGAGTTGTCATAGAAAATTCTAGAGTGTGAGTGTGTGTGTGTATGTGTGTGTGCACGTGCGCACATACACCCACATATTAGTGAAACTTATAGAAATGATAATTCAGTGAGCCTGGTGTGAAGCCAGAGCATAATGCACAACTGATTCTGTTCTACATAAACATAAAATAGATGTAATCTAACAAACAAGTAATTTTATTAAATCAATAAATCCCAAAGTCACCGTCTTCCTCTCATTAGAGTAGGAGACAGGGACAAAAGATATTCATACATTGTTTTTTTCAATCTCTCTCTACATATCTCTGCAAACAGAGATATTATCTGCCTGTGTATATTTTTTTCTACATAGAGATGCATGTAGTAAGATATAGAGAAAAAAATACAGATAGGCAATAAATATCCCAGCTTCTCTAGCACAATCTAGTGTTTTAGTATGATGCATGGCATCCTTCAGAAAAATATAGTTCCGTAAGTACATTTTAAAGTTCAGTTGGGAAAAAGTCTAGAAAAAGTGTCCACATTAACCAGCTAATTTAGAGACTATAACATCAGTGCATGATTCCTTATAGCTTGTTTTATAGTTTTGGGAACCAAAAGCGTGTTTGCAATGAGAAGTTAACATCTCCACATATTCAAGGCTAGAGATACATCCCCTTTGTCTTGTTACTTACCCACCATGAAGTATACTATAAAAGTAAATATAAAACTTGGCAAGAACCTCCTGGCTAGTAAGTCAGATAAAATATTTCCAAAGAAATAAGACGACACCCAGTAGTATCCACTGATGTGCTCGTGTCTGCAGAACAAAAACACACACCATACACCCCAGATTAGTCCAAGAAGGTATAGCCCAGATGAGATGCTGCTGTGCAGACTCCTGCTGCCCCCAGGTCTGACACTGCAGCTGCCCACAAGCTCCAGGCTGACCCTCCCCCCATCCTTCTCCTTCTCAGATGCAGCCTCCCTGGGGCATTAGCCCCATGAGGCTCTTGCTGTGACCCTCTCATGACAGCACCCCTCCTGCTGCCACCCACTCTGTCCCTGCCACCCTCCAGGGACAGAGTCTGCATCTCCTCACTCTCCTCAGAGCCTCTGCTTCTGCTGTCAGGCTGGCTCTGCCTGAGGAGCAGCACTTCAGGGCTAACTTCAGTGGTAATGGAGGCTTTTCTTCTCTCCACTTCTGAGTGTGAAAGTAACATGGTTAATTTCCAAGGCCCTCTAGCAGATTCAGATCACTAAATTTGTTTACTTCTCTTTTGTTAAAATAAAGAAAAAGACTTCCTCCTGCCTCCAAGTGCAGCACTATCAGCAATCAAATCCTCATCTTCCCTCTTCCTGACACCTTTATTCCCTAAATTCCAAACTCTTTCACTAGTGTCTTCATTCCTTTCCTCTCTGGTAATTCCTGTCCTGGGCATGAAGGCCTGGGTAAATTTTCTCCATCCTTGAAAAATACAGGGAAAAATCATCTTGCTCTTGCTCTTTCCTGTAAGGCTGCCCTCTGGGTCTCTTCACTTTTTCTTTGATCCACTCAGAGCTATGCTTGGCCACATACTTTGTCAACTTCATATCACATTTCTAATTTGCTGCTTACACCTCTACTTAATCTCTACCAAAGACTCTGAAAAATTTCCTTGGGAGGGTCATTATGACCTATTTTTTTTCCTAAAAACTAAAGATACTTATTAACCCCTTTATTCCTTACTTTCTCAGCAGAATTGGGATTTGATGACCATACCCTAACCTTAAAATTTCTTTTTTCTTTGTAGCAGGCCCCACACACTCTTGACTTTCTATCCCATTTGGGACTGCTTTTTCTCACTTACTACTGGTAATCCTTATATAGACTTTGTGTTTTACATGGTAAGTATGTATAATTTAAATATCAATTTGAAAACATAAAGAATACAAGGGAAAAGAAAAGAAAAATAAATACCAGTAATCCCCAGAATCACATTTTTGGTCTAATTCTGCATTTAACCATTTTCCCCCAGCCAGCAATGTTTCTAACCAGAATAGAGACCAACTCACAGAAATAGCTGCTTCTGGACCACAAAGAGTTTCACGGCTGACACGCTGCTGAAACACTGGTGAGCCATCAGGATGAAGAACACTGCTGCTCTGTCAGGACAGAATGGGAACAAAAGCACCTCAGGTAACTCAGCACTTTTAGGTTGGTTTCTTCCCATAAAACTCCTTCCAGAAATAATGTAATATCAAATACATCTTAAAAAGAAAAGTAAAACTCTTAAACAGATAGGAAAGCCTGGCCCTTCTAGTGGCTCTCCCAACTCTGTGTCTCCTCATTGGTACCCCTGTCACTCCACACTACAGCAAAAATTGAAATTCTTGTTTTGGGTTATTGTGCATGGACTTGTTTTCCCTAAAATTCATCTGTTGAAGAGATAACCCCCAATGTGATAGTACCAGGAGGTAGGCTTAAGGAAGTAATAAGGTTTACATGAGGTCATGAGAGTGGAGCCCCATGATGGGATTAGTGAATTGGTGGAGAGGAAGAAATACCAGCTGTTCTCTGCCATGAGAGGATGTCCAGTGAAGGCCCCATCTACAAGCCAGGGAGGGACCCTCATAGGAGCCTGACCTGCTGGAAGGGAATTCTAACCCCAGACTTCCAGACTCCATTATTGAGAGAAAATAACATTCTGTTGTTTCAGCCACCAAGTACATGGGATTTTCCTGTGACAGCCCGACCTAACATAAAAATACTCCCTCATCTTCAAATTAACTCACAAAAATGCTGTATGTCATTCCTAATGTACGAAAAGAGAAACATTAAACTAAATGAACCTAAATAAATCTCCCAAGAGTTAAAATATTTAATCATCCAGTTTGGTTTTAAAGTGAAGTAATAAGAAAGTAAGACATGTGGAAAGAAATGAGATAGGGGAGGAAACCCCTGCTCAGCTCCTTGCTGTAGTCACCCAGGACAGGGCCATCAATAGCCTTGACAGTTATCCTTGATGTGCGACAGCCACTTTCCTACAGGATTTTCTAGGATGCTCAAAACAAAAATCAATTTGATGCTTATTTATAAGATAAAAAGTAATTTGATCATGTGTATGAAGCTTTAATACTTATTTCTTGGTTAAAATAATTGAAGTTTAGAAAGAAAAGTGTTCAGTTAACTTATACTCCAGTAGAAATAAGGATTTCATGAAAGCATGCCACCGTCCCTGAAACAAAGAAAAGCTTCCCTTCCAAACCAAACAACTGAACTGACAGTAAAAACCAGAAAGTGAGATAACATGTGTATCATTTAAATGAGTTAAAAAGAAGAGAACATTTTTATGCATATAAATCCAAGTAAATAATTCCAACTACTTAGAAAAAAAAAGAAAAAGAAGAGCCCATAGGCAATTTTTTTTCACCTAAAGAATGAAGAACTAAGGGGTATAAGCTGTTTTTAGTATGAAAGTTCACATAATAATCAAAGTGAATGGAAAATAGCCAGGCCCAAGAGAAAAACTACTATATAATTTTGCTATTGGAATAAACATAATATCAAGTTGAAAGGCAATTTGAGAAACATGGGACAGGGCAAAAATTCACTTTAATTTGTTGTCTTGCATTTAATAATACAAATACATTTAATAATGTAAGTCAAAAATACAAATTAAAATGAGGTTAGTGTTCATTTTTTCCAGAAAACATCTGAAGAAACTGCTAAAGTTCTTCTTTATTTCTTTGGCTTTTTCTATTAAAATATTCATGATTCTAAAAAAAAA